TCAGGCTGGCACCAGAACATTTCTTCTCACTCATAGTTTTAAACACTCCTTTTATTCCTAAGTCACACAGTTAGTCTCTTTTCTAATATTGGAATGTCCTACCTAACACACTAACCTATACTTCAAACTTTTTTGAAGAGAGCCTTCTTCCTCTTCCTCCACTGAAGAGGGTTGCTGATCTTCTGGAAAGAGGAAAATAGATGTCATCTTCCCCAACATGTGCACATGGGGGATGGAAGTGGTGAGAGGTAGGATTCATGAAGGTGAATCCATGGTGCTCAGGCACCATGTGGGTCAATAATTGGGCATGGTGGGTGGCTGAGGTTATGGCTCAGCGGTAAAGTGCTCACCTAGCATGTGTGAGGCCCTGGGTTCAATCCTTAGCACCACATACAAATAAATAAAATAAAGGTATTGTGTCCAACAACTAATAAATAATAATAATAATAATAATAATTATAATTATAATAATAAGGCACAAAAGGAGCCACCAGCCCTGAGGTAGCTGCAGCTCTGGCCACCTTAGGAATCCCTTCCTTCTTTGAAGACTCTGGTGGTCCACCTTCCCGTGTATCTGATGGGGACTCATGCCTTCTAGATTATCCCAGGAGACTATATCTAAGATGTTCCACATCACAAGACTGTCTGCAGGAAACATACTCTGTCAAGACCAGCTTTCAGCATACAAATTCACATTCATTTTTGTGTTAGTCAGCTTTCCTTGACTCTAAAACATACCTAAGTTAATATATTTACAAAGAGAAAAGGACTTCTTTCTTTTGAACAGAAGTGGTGAAAATGGAATTCCTGCCTTGTTGCAGTTTGTCAAGGCAATGCCTTCCATTTTTTCTGTGTTTAGAATACTGTTGGCCTGAGGCTTTGCAGAGATAGCCTTTATGATGTTGAGATGAGTTCCTGTTATCCATAGTTTTTCCAGTGTTTTGAACTTAAAGGGGTGCTGTATTTTGTCAAATGCTTTTTCTGCATCTATTGAGATGGCCATATGGTTCTTATCTTGAAGTCTATTGATATGATGAATGGCATTATTTGATTTCCGTATATTGAGACAACCTTGAATACCTGGGATGAATCCCACATGATCATGGTGTATGATCTTTTTGATATGTTTTTGTATTTGATTTGCCAGAATTTAATTGAGGATTTTTGCCTCTATATTCATTAGAGATATTGGTCTGAAGTTTCCTTTATTTCAGGTGTCTTTGTCTGATTTTGGAATCAGGGTAATATTAGCCTCAGAGAATAAAGTTGGATGTACTCCCTCTTTTTCTATTTGCTGAAATAGATTAAGAGTATTGGTATTAGTACTTATTGAAAGGTCTTGTAAAACTTTGGCTGTATATCCATCTGGTCCTGGGCCTTTCTTGGTTGGTAACCTTTTGATTGCTTCATCTATGTCCTCACTTGATATTGGTCTCTTTAAGTTGTGTATATCTTCCTGACTCAATCTGGGCAGATCATATGACTTTAGGAATTTATGTATGCCTTCATTATCTTCTATTTTATTAGGGTTACAATTTTCTAATTATCTTCTGCATTTCTGTAGTGTCTGTTTTGATATTGCATTTTTCATCACATATGCTAGTAATTTGGGTTCTCTCTCTTCTTCTCTTCGTTAGAATGGCTAAGAGTCTGTCAATTTTATGTATTTTTTTCAAAGAACCAACTTTGAGTTTGTCAATTTTTCCAAATGTTTCTTTTGTTTTGATTTCACTGATTTCAGCTCTGATTTTAATTATTGCTTCCCTTTACTGCTTTTGCTGCTGGTTTATTCTTCTTTTTCTAGGGCTCTGAGGTGTACTGTGAGGTTATTTACTTGTTGGCTCTTTCTTTTTTTAAGGAATAGACTTCATGCAATGAATTTTCCTCTTAGTACTGCCTTCATAGTGCCCAGGGATTTCAATATATTGTGTCTGTGTTTTCATTAACCTCTAAGAATTTTTTAATTTCCTTCTTGATGTCTTCTGTAACCCATAAATGAACATTCAGTGCATATTGTTCATTCTCCAAGTGATGAAGGAATTTTTCTTCCTTATTTTATCATTGGTTTCCAGTTTCATTCCATTATGATGGAATAAAATGCATGGTAGTAACTCTACTCCCCTGTATTTGCTAAGAGTTTCCCTGTGGCATAATATGGGGTCTATTTTTGAGAAGGATCCATGTGCTGCTGAGAAGACAGGGTATCATCTTGATGTTGGTTGATATTTTATATATGTCAATTAAGTCTATATTATTAATGGTGTTATTGAGTTCTATAGTTTCTTTATTCAAATTTGTTTGGAAGATCTCTCCAGTGGTGAGAGAGGTGTGTTAAAATCACACATGATTATTGTGCTGTGGACTATTTGACTCTTGAAATTGAGAAGAGTTTTTTAGATGAACATAGCTGCTCCATGGTTTGGGGCATATATATTAATGATTGTTATGTCTTCTTCATGTATGGTCTCTTTGAGCAGTATGTAGGTTCCTTCTTTGTTCCTTGTGATAAACTTTGGTTAGAAGTCTACCTTATTTGATATGAGTATGGACACCCCTGATTGCTTCTGAGGTCAATGTGAGTGGTATGAGATTTTCCAACTTTTCACCTTCAGTCTCTGTATGTCTTTTCCTATCTAATGAGTCTCTTGTAGGTAGCATATTGTAGCATCTTTTATTTTAAATCCACTCTACTATCCTATGTCTTTTGAATGGTGATTTTAAGCCATTAACATTTAAGGTTACTATTGAGATATTGTATGTATATCCAGCCATATTGGTTTATTTTTGTTATTTAACTTGAACTTGAACTTGATTTTCCTCTATGATTAGATCTTCCTTTACTGTACTACCTCCCACTCTTGGTTTTCACTATCATTTTTTAATTTACTCTTTATGAAAAATTTTGCCAAGGATGTGTTGAACCGCCTGTTTTCTACCTGCAGATTCTCTTAACTTTTGTTTATTGTGGAATGATTTTACTTCATCCTCAAACTTGAAGCTTAGACTTGCTGCATACAAGAGTCTGGGTTAGTGAAAGAACGAACAAGGCTCATCGTCGAAGAAAATGCCTGTTTGTTGAGGAATAGCTCTGCATATTTATAAAGCTGGGGGTGATTTGGCAGTTATGACAGTTTAATGGTTGAATGGTTTGACAGTTGGCATGGGGTGCTTTCTGATTGGTGGGTAAGGATCATGTGAGCCAGCAGGGCTAGTCTTATTGGTGGGTAAGGATCATGTGAACCAGCAGGGCTAGTCTGATTGGTGGGTAAGGATCATGTGATCCATCAGGGCTAGTCTGATTGGTAGGTAAGGATCATGTGAGCCAGCAGGGCTCACCATTGGACAGTTCTTCTCAGGGGGGGATGGGAAAGTTAGTCTTTGGAGTCAGGGTGACTCCCAACATTCCCCCCTCTTTGTTATTAAATGAGAGTGGGTGTTTACTCATTCTGGCTGCTTCCTGCTGAGATGGGGCAGCGTGGGAGAATAGGAGGGAAGTAGGGAGCCCCCACAAGAGGGCAGAGAGAACTGGAATAACTTCAGGAACCAGATCAATGAAGATTCCTTGCCACCGCAGATCCATGAAGATGTCAGTCCATTGGGCATAGATCTCAACTGAAGGTATCATCAGTAGCCAGGAGTTGGTTATTCCTGAGGAGAAGCTGGTTAAAAGCTTGATTACAAATTTTTACCCACCAGAGTCTGAATGAACTTTATGA